ATAGTAAATAAAACTTTTTTCCAAGGCACATTTAATTGCATATGTCAACATCCAAAATTTTATACTGGTGACCCAAAGTTCTATTACAAACTTATGATTCTATTGATTCAAGCCTCTTGTTCATTTTTCCAAAAAGTTGGAAACCCAATCATACAGAGAAAAAAAAGTGACACTTTAGTACTCTTGTGAAATTTTGAATGAGTTCATGGTTAAAAAAACTTTTAAAAATTAATATCCCTTCCACTGTGTTAAACTTTAAAAAAAAAAAAAAAAAAACCAGTGTGACACACTTCCAAATGGATTACTGGAAACTCCGATATGTGAATACGTTCAAATCACACTTAGTCCTTTTCAGTATCTTGCCCGGAGAACTTTTTTGAAGTCAAATTCATATGGGATTTGATAGTGGATGGCAAATACGAATATCTGTGTAAGCGAGTATTAAGGTCGTCCTGATTTCTTTCTGAATGGCCCGCCTATTTACATGAGGAGGAAATTAACGTTTATTTAAAAATGTATGCTTGTTTATTTTTTTTTTTTAGTTTAAACTATTTGTTATTTAGTAACTTGTACGGTCATCCATAAATAATCTTCAAAATAAACAATTGATTAAAAAATGATTTGTCTATTTAAGTAACCTGCAAAGAAGGTTTGAGGCTGTCAAAAACAATAAATCATTGGATTTATAAAAAATTTTCATTAAAGCGAAGACTTCACTAGTGAGGATCTGGCAATAGGTTCAATAATCTATTACAATCCTTTACAAGGGTGAGTAAGTTCTGTCAAATGATTCATTACTTTTGAGTTTCTAATCACATCCATCAAAGTGGTTTTTTGATTTTCACCCCAGAGCATACATTAATCATACGGCCACTAGTAAAATTATATCAGTATTTTTTTTAATTATTCAGACGTAACTGTCAGACATAAACAAACTGCCTCTCCATTAAATATGGTGATTTTTTAAAAAATGGCAGCGGTATGTTTATTTATCATAAAGAGAACACTATGAAAGCGGTCTTTTAGGTATCGCAGCACTATTGTGATGTAATTACGCAAACCTTTCCCGGCACGGAAAAGGATGCCCCAATACATTTTTATAGTCTCAGTTTTACCAGAGTTTAGATGGCACGTTTACGGTAATTGGGACATTTTTGATGTGCAAATAGTTAGTATCTGATCGGAATGACCTTTTTAATGATTACAAATGCCCAATGTTGATTTTCCTAGCACAGTTTGTACACGACCGAAAGTACGGGATTCATTTCCTTAAAATCAATTTTCGTTTTTTAGGGTAAATTGAACGGAATGGGCAATGTCACCCAACTGTTACCAAGTTTATTCAGCGGATATTTACATATGCAACATATATATATAAAAATAACATATATATCATATGTGTTTATATATGCAAGGTTCCCAATGTGTTCTTAGAATTAAACATTTGATAAAATCAACAAATTTGAATAAGGCCAAAGTATTTGAAGGCAAGACAAATTGTTCAATTCGAATCCGTCAACAAAATTTGATTCAAGAAAACCCCTTTGAATTGTGTCTGAAAATTTTGCAAAACGACCAAAAATTCTTAGAATTCAAATTTAAATATTTTATGAACTCTTTTAATGCCAAAAACGAACAGAATAAATCAAAAATACGAAAAATAAAATGTCATATTTCAAAAACAATTTAATTCAATAAAAACGCTAAAAAATAAAAAAATCTAGGGGTTTTGAATATTTTTACATCAATGGGGGTGGATTTTTATATATTTGAGCAAAACACAGCACATATGGCACGATTTTGTTTAGCACGAAGTTCAGTCTCACCTCTGAGTATTTTTCTGTTTCTATCTGTCACAGTAAAACTGTTGTATATATATATATATATATATATATATATATGTATATATTTTATCTACCTATCTATTTAAAAAATATAGCATAAAAACCTCGTGTATTAAGTGTTTTATGTCTTTAACGGCAAATTTAATATATTACAAACAGCATGAAGGATCTCAATGTTTTCACCAGAAACAAAAAATCTATTTTTTATAGAATTTGCAACATATCAATGTTATAATTTTTTTTAAATAAATGAAAAAATTTTCTTCTCGTTTGTATTCAGTGTTTTTTAAAGAAAAGTAATTTTTAAAACACCAGAATAACCATTTCAAAACGTTCAATCTATCTGACTTTTTTTACAAAATCCTTTTCTATCTAAATTTATATCTAAACTTTATATCTATATGCTTCTATGTATATATATGGTATACCTATATCTAAACTGGGACCGAATGGTTCTATTGGGAAAGAATACTTCCCCTACATGAGTAAAAATCTTCAAAAACGTCCCCCTTTCTAATTATTTTGCACATTTTTATATATTTCTTTACTCATTAATTTCATTTTTATATATTATTTATTTATATATATATTATTTTTTATCTGTTTTTTTTTTTTCAAATATTTTATAAACTTTGTCAATTATTTTACTGGTTACATCTGCCATCCATCACCCAAATATCGTGCCACTCATTTATACCCCAATTAATCCATGTGTATTTTCAACATAAAGATCACATCCTGCACATGCAAGTTCTAAATTTTTCCTTTGTTTCATTATTGATTCGGATATTTGTCTGAAAATTTTTTCAACAATTTAATAGATTATTTATTTTTATATATAAATCTTGGAATCCTAATGTTTTTGTGTCATAGACGTATATATATTATATGAGGGCATTCCTGTGATATATAAATTCTATTATTTAACAATTAAACATTCTGTTGAAAATTTATGATTATATTGGCTTTTCTATTAATTTAAACATACAATTATATTTATCAATAGGGATATTGCTTTCAAAAGTTTACACAATTTCTTAATATTTTGTTGGATCTATATAGCCTATAATATAATTTTGATATTTTGTTGTATTTTTATATAGTCAGAAATTTATCCTTTCATTGCAAGAAAAAACAAACAAAAAATCTGAATATGTTTTAAACTTCTCATACATATTATAATATCAATTGGTTTTTTTATTTTTTCACTTTATCCTTATTTAAATTTGTTTTTGGAAATCAATTTTACGAATATTATTTTTTCAAGGGGATATCGCAATTTTTTGACGACTACGTTTGATCATATTTAAAAAAACTGATTTTTGAAATAAAATTTTCAATTATTTGTTTTTAGGAATAAAATAATTCATCGTTTTTTCATTTAAATTATTATAAACTCTGAAATTGTTAATTTTGTTTAAATAAAATGTCCATGAAGGACTGAAAATAACCAAAACGCAAGATTTCTTCAAATTCATTATTTTATATATATAAATATATGATATTCAGAATTTTGTTTTTTTCTCTATTTTACTATCAATATATTCAATCCTATAAATAAAATATATCAATATATGCATACCGATTTATATAAATAGTAAAAATAATTCAAAGAAGGTGATGAATGGTCAGGTAAAAATAAAATGTCCTACAAATTGTTTTAATAATAAATAAAAAAATCATCAAACTCTCAGAAATTAACATAATTTATTTAAAATTATTAAATAAATATGATAAATTTTTCAATAAAATTGACAAAGATTATTGTTTAAGGTTGATGGACACGCATGTCTTAATTTTTTTTTTTTTTTTTTTTTTTTTTACGAATTGGTCAAACCCAAACTCAAACAAAAACATTGTTTTCAATCGTTATGAGTCTACCGATTGAATAGAATTTTATTATAAACAATTGTCTTGTAAATGGAATTTTTAAAGCATTCTGAATGTAAAATAAAAAAAAAGTGTGCAAGACAATAAGAAACACTACCTGCCAAAAAAAAGTGAAGTTTTGTTGAAATCGGTTGAAAAATGTAGGAAATCCGATCCCATATATAAACGAACACACACACACACAAACAACCTGGGTTTTATAATAAGTATAACTCGATATGAGTTGTCCCCCTTTCATTCTCGACAGCGATGCCTCTTAATCGTGTTTTCAAATTGATTTCGTGCAAAAACAATTGTGTTTTTCCAATTTTTGGCGCTGTCAGAACCACCGCAATATAATTTTACGTAGTCCTGTGAAGTTTTATTTGAAATCGGTTGAAAAATGTAGGAAATCCGATCCAATATATAAACGAACAGACACACACAACACACACACACACACACACACACACACACACACACACAACCTGGGTTTTATAAATTTTATAATTAAGATTTGTTGATCCCCAGGAAAAAAAAGAGCCATTTTAAAACATTAAAATTGGGGATATTATTTTTCACCGCACTGGATGTATACAGGGTGAAGCAAACGTGGCAAACATAGGCTACTTTATTAAAAGTTTAATTAGACATAAAATTATATTTAATTGTTGCCGTTCTGTTTAATATCTTTTATTTTTTTTTTGAAAAACACGTTTCAGTTCAATCAATAGAAATAAAATTCATTAACACGACGGATGATACTTTCCTCTGCCATTTAGTGCACCCATATTAATTCTTAGTTCCATCATACTTCGTAAAAACTGCTTCTGCAAAAAAGAAAATATCAAAACAAATTAGACATTTAAAACATGATTAATTAATTAAACCCTTTGTTACGCTTGTTTCCTCACCCTGAATCATATATATATATATATATATATATGCAAGTATATGGAGATTGGTGTATACGGAATAAATTCAATAACCAAAAATACTATTTTTAAAGAGTGTTCAATACAGTGTAGAGCAAATATAAGTATTTGTTCGAAAATTATAAATTGTTATAAAATCACTACCAAAAATAGGCATTTTGTTTCAAGACTTCTGGTGTCTCATCAAGTGATGGTGTCGAATGTAGAAGAAAAAGGGTTTTAAAAGGTTGAAATGAATCATGCACCCCTCGCTAGGGGAAACCCTGTTACATATTCTTGAATGACCAATCAAAAGTAAGTATATTTTTGTTTTATTAATAAGGCTCATTATTTTTTAACCTTTTTTACCCACAGAATCGTTTGAATAGATGGCGCGGAGATGGGGAAAGAATCGTGTGAATAGATATGGAGGAGGAAAAAGAATCGTGTTTATAGATGGTGGAGGAGGAGGAATTTGAATCGTGTGAATAGATGGTGGAGGAGGTGCCAGAATTGTTTGAATAGTGTGATAGTTGACAGAATCGTGTGAATAGATGACGGAGGATGAAAGAATCGTGTGAATAGATGGCGGAGGAGGACAAAAGAATCATGATGAATAGATGGCGGAGAAGTAGGAGAAAGAATCGTGTGAATAACCACCGAGGAGGAGAAAGAATCGTGAGAATAGATGGAGGTAAATCTAGGAAAAAAAATCGTGCGAATAGATGGAGGGAGGAGGAGGAGAAAGAATTGTTTATAGATGCCGGAGGAGGAGAACATATATTGATAGACCAATGGAGGAGGAGGAGAATACCCCACTGGTGGAGATGGTGGAGGATTTTGGAAAAGGAATCGTGTGAATAGATGGTGGAGGAGGTGCAAGAATACATTTTACCAACAGAATAAAGTAGGTAAGAATCGTGAATAGATGACGGAGGATTAACAGAATCATTTGAATAGATGAGTCGGAGGAGGAGTGTTAGAATGTGTGAATAGATGGCGGAGATATAGGATAAAAAAATATTTAGAATAGATGCCGGAGGAGGATAAAGAATCGTGAGAATAGATGGACCTGAAGTAGGAAGAAAAATGTGCGAATAGATGGAGGAGGATGGGAGGAGGAGAAAGAATCGTGTTTATAGTGCCGGAGGTAAAAAGGAATTTTGTATATAGATGGTGGAAAGTCATACATGTAAATTAAATATTAGATGGTGGAGGGAGGAGGAAGAAGGAATTTGTGAATAGATGGTGGAGGATACAGCTAAAATTGTTTGAATAGTGTGGAGAACTGTAGGTGTAGAATCTTGCATATAGATGACGGAGGATGAGAAAGAATCGTGTGAATAAATAGAGGAGTGAGAAAAGAATCGTGTGAATAGATACAAGAAGATAGAATGCAATAAGATTTTAAATGCCGGAGAGTTACTTCTTTCAGAGAGAATAGATGGACATCAAGGTAGGAGAAAGAATCGTGCGAATAGATTAAGGAGGAGGAGGAGGGAAGGATCGTGTTTATAGATGCCGGAGGAGGAGAACTTTTCAACCTGTTCTGCTAGTATTGGTGGATCAGGAGGAAGGAATCGTGTGTTTCCAGAAGGAGGGAGGATAAAAGGAATGCTATTCAATAGATGGTCCAGGAGATGCAACTTTGTTTGAATAGTGTGGATTGCCAAACTTCTTTCTCATTGAATAGATGGCGGAGGATGAGAAAGAATCTTGCTGAATAGATGGCGGAGCAACAAGCATGAAAAGAATATTGTAAAAATAGATGGCGGATTTGTAGGAGAACTCTCGTGTGAATAGATGCCGGAGGAGGATAAGAATCGTTTTTATAGATGGAGGTGGATGTAGGGAGAAAGAATATATGAATAGATGGAGGAGGAGGAGGAGGAGAAAGAATCGTGTGAATAGATGGCGGTTAGTATAAGAACAAATATTGAATAGATGGCAAAAAAAAAAAAAAAAAAATTTGTGAATAGATGGCGGAGGAGGAGGAGAAAAATCGTGAGAATAGATGGTTTTTTAGGAGAATAGAATCTGTTAATAGATCTCGGAACAGGGAGGAGGAAAGAAGAGAATAGATGGCGGAGGATAAGAAAGAATCGTGAGAGAATAGATGGCGGAGGCTATCCCATCCTGGAATAGATGGCGGAGGAGAAGAAATTATCGTGTGTTAGGAAGCAGAGGAGGAACAAAATCTATGTATAGATCAAAGGTGGAAAAGGCTATCGTTTAAAAGACAAGGCATACGAGGGACACGGGTCGATAGTGGACTGATTTCACAAGAAGGGACAATTGGGGAGTCACAGATCACCCAAGTTCATAAGGACACAGCAAATAAACATGATGTAGTGTCTAAGATATTTTTTTTTTTGTATTTTCTAAGGTTTACTTTTCACATTATATCTGATATAATTAGAATATTGGAGGAGTTTTAATATTATTTACTAAGATCCAAAAAAACTAATACATATTCTTCAGCAGCACGTGGGTGATAAGGAAGATTTAAGGAATATGACAACTGGAATGGCGTGCTTAAAACTAGACAGAAATAGTTTCAAATTCTTTTGTTGCATTCAAGGAAAGACGGCCTGAAAATAAGACACCCACAGTACGTAGTTAGGCGTAGAGTTATCTGCCTATTTAATTTTTGTGAATAGATGAATGAGGAAGGACAAGAAGTGATCGGAAAAAAAACAAACGTCGTTTAGCGCTACAACATACAAAAAAGCTGTGGAGCTATGTTTCCCACGTGCTGGACACTGGACATAAAGGATGAGGCGAATGATGGTCATTATGATGATGAGGATACTTTTTCTTTCTCTTATAAATTATATTTGTGTGTGACTTCTGTGTATGTCTGTGTGTGTGTCCATTTATGAGTGTTTTTGGAGAACAAGCAGTTACTTCCCCTCTTCGTCATTGAAAAGCCATCTACAGAAAAAAGGTGTTTTTATTTTGAGACGGAATTTTTATTATTTGGCTAACTCTTTTATATGTTAATCCATGTTAATTAAATGGCGGTACTGACCTATCCAAATCTTCATTTGTTTTAGGAATTATCAAAAGTATTGTAAATCATTAATAGCCTTAGTAAGAAATTCTATGTTGGCATTCCATTAGAAATCTCCTCCTGAGATCTGAATTTTTATTAACTTGCATCCTTACGCATGCAAGAAAAATTTTCAGGAGTTAAAACAGTTGCTGTGTCTACCGATTTCTGTACTCTTAGAACGTTCTGCAATTTAAAATCCGACTATACCTATATTTGAACTTATATTTGGGTAACATTTTTTTTCTTTTATACATACTTCATTGAATGAGACGAACAAAAAATTTAAAAGCTTTTTATTCAGTTTCTCTAATGTTCTTACAGCTTTTCTTTTATCGGAACTAAAGAATGAAATTGTCCGAAGCCATTATTGTTTCGCCACAGTTCAGTAGCCATTTGCAAGGGTTCATTGAATTCTATTTTACTGGATATAGAATTACAGGGTGCCAGTGAAAAAGCGGCAAATTATTACCAATTTGAGAAACAATTGACCTTGAATAACAATGAATATCCATGACCTTGGATATTTATTCGTCTGTCATGTAATTAGATATCTCTGATTAACTGTTGCTCGATCTTGTGACTCTTGTAATAACATCTACACGGTATTAGCAGACGACTTTCGTCTTTGGCTAAAAAACTCACTGAATTTTTTTTTGTGTCTGTGTGTAAGTTTTACTTCAAGTATCACATGGCTGTTGTGGTTGTTAGATCTTCCTAGTTTTGATACTAGTTTGTGATAAAAACCTAATGTTGCTTTGATCCTTATACTGCTTATTAATGTGTTGTCTGACGTTCAGCTTTGTGGTCTGATAGGTGGCAGGTGAAAGTTTGATACCGTCTCGAGTATAAATATTATCGAGGTGATCAGGGAAAATCTCTTGTGGACGCTAATAAAGTTTTTTTTTTTTCTTAATAATGTAGGATTGTCTTTCAGGAGTGGCAAAGGAACAGTGATAAATGTTATTTAAATAACGACAATTGTTTCATCGACTGGAAGATTTCAACGTCTATGAATGCTTGTCCTGGAGATTTCTTAGGTGAAGAATTTGTAAAACGTTGGTCGAACTGATACTGTATTTGGTATTGGTAAGTATAATATGATTAATCGGTTTAAAGATTTTGATAATTGATATAGATGTAGGAACTTGTGATATTGGAGGCGATGTGACTGTCCTGATTTATGAATTTTAACATTGCCGTATAAATGACCACGCCTATATTTTGTAAAATTAATCGACAAAAATGTCTGTCTTTAATATTTCCTTTAAGATTTCATGTCTAAATAAATAGAACGCTTATATTGTATATCTTATAGATTTTTTTCTTTTATTCTTCTATCTGTTTTCGTCATTGTAAAAAAAAAAAGGAATTTCTGTTTATCTATGACATTTAATAGTTAATAGTTTTTTAAGTGTTGTATATATCTCGCAATATTTTGCCTCGGCGCGTTGGTATTATCAAATGCAATTAGTACTTATAATTCTATGTGCTGTTTCAATTTTCAAGACGGGAACGATCATGGCTCTCCACGATTTTCTGTCCTCTGTAGCTCTTTTTGTAACGTTTGCCTTTTCGCTAAACCGCCTAAACCCTGTTCTGCCATTCATATACAATAAGCTCGTTAGGAAGGCCTTACGGTGTTTTTCCACTGTCTTTTTATTTACTCAAACTATGTCGTAGGCATCATAGTTTCAAAGCCATTTTTCTTAGTAAATGTCCAAGCAATTTCAACTGTCTTATGGTACGTATAAGAGTCTTTTTAGTTTCCAGTTTTCTACAACTTCGTCGTCACTCTAATGTCTAGCTAAGGGTATTCTCAGCATCTTTCTGTATAACCACATTCTGTTGCCTCATGTACCTGTGAAGATGATACATCATTCACTGCCATAAAGGAGGATTGATCGTATATGACAGTTCGATATTATTTTCTTCGTTTCTAATGAATTTCCTTATTTCTGATACTTTACTTAGTTTGTGAAAACATCAGTTATCCTTCAGATTTCACTCATTGCATTTTCTCTCCTCTGTTAAAACACTTCCCAAATATTTAAAAAAAACAATTTTTATTCATAAATTTATAAACATTTGATAAAATTATTAAAACTATATGAACTATAAGGATATGTTATTATTTATCATTTTATAAAAGTTTAAATGTAATGAAGGACATATTTTGCCAACCATTCCACTTATATATAATAAAACAACCTAATAAAAAGTGTCTATTATTTTTCTTAAAATCAATAATAAATGTTCAAATTCATTTTCATCATATGTTTAGTTTTTATTACAATTATAAACAATAGAAAATTATTATGATAAAATTTTTTTTCAGCTTTATAATTCAAAACTGATTCAAATTAAATTTATTAAATTTTATCTAAGTTTTATTTGTTGTAGAAAATGTCGCGTCGTTATTGAGGATTATTCGGGAATTTTACTAAAATAAACTTTGGAGTGATAAATCTGTTTTTTAAAAATCAAAAAAAAGCGTCTATTTTCTTTCTTTATTACAAAACTGAGCAGATTATACTTTTGATAACTTTATAGAAATACTTTGTCTTTTTTTCCAGTTCATTTGCAAAAACAAAAAATCAAAAACTTGTGTTTAATATGTACATTATTCTCATATTGCAAGACAACAGATAATAATAAAAATTGAGAATTTTATTAAGATTCTAATGAATGGTGTATGCTCATTTATATTAGGTTAAAAAGGAAAAGTGTGTATTAAATTACTTTCCACAAAAAGTTTTAAAAAAATCGCACATATGGACTTTGTAGGCATATTGAAATAATTTATTAAACAAATTCCTGCGTTTAAAAATATATAATAAATGATGGTAGGTTTTAATTTTTTTTAAGCAAGAGAGGAAACTTAAAAGATAAATTTATATATTTACTATCAATATTGAGATTTATTAAATATTATTTATTTTGATATATATATATTTATAGATGGAGAAGATACAATTGCCCACTATAATAATATAGTTGAAAGGGGAAATAAATCAATATTTTTTTTAAAACCGTTTGTCAGACTCTTTTAAATTTGATGGAGACTTGATTTGTATTAAAAAAGAATATTTAATTTATTGAAGAGCAATTTTATATACTGTTAATATATATATATACGTGATTTCAGTTAAGGGAAAAATGTTTCTTTTAAAATTTTGCCAAAAAGTGGAGACCCAAATTTTTAAAATTTTTTTTGCTTTTGCAAATTGTTTTAAAAAATGGAGTCAATTCTATTTTTGGAATTTAAAAAATCTGCATTTTGGAAAACAGAATTTTTAATATTATGTATTCAAATTAAATTTAAATTTATCAAATGTAATCATACTTAAAATTCTATGTAATCTTAATATAGTCGTATTTGGAAGGGCTGTTATGTGAGACTATCTTCCTTTTTGGTAAGGAGTTATTAATACAATTAGATTATTGTTTTTATATATACAAGGATATAAATGTTTCTAAAACTATAAAGCTTTTTAATTGCTGACTTCCTATTTGCAGACATTCTTTTTTTTTACGTTTTTCGTCCAACGAGCAAACTCATCAGTAAACATTATCTTCCATTTTTGATAAAGTTCTTACAATATTCAAACTGCTTTCAAGATAAAATTTTGAGTTATAAATATGTGAGAAATCATTTTATTTTGTTTAACCCGTTCTATTACAAGGATTTTGA